GAGAGTGTGGTATCATCCCTCTAAGGGCTTATTTCCATTTATATCAGGATACGAATGAGAAAAAACTGGAATTTTTGAACAAAAAATAAATCTCCAAACCTTTTCAATGATACTTTGCTTCCAATCAATACGTGAGTCAAGATAACTTCGAAGAAGCTGTACACCGGAAACATTGTGACACTCAGCCAATCGCTGTTTCCATCGGTCCAAAATCATACAAGAGTGCTGACCTCAAACAAAACAGCTCACCCCAGAACTTCATGATAATAAAAAAGTTGCACGCTCAAAAAAAAACACTTCATTTTTTTGATGAAAGTATCCTCAAAACCTCACCTGTTTGCAGAGCAACTTTGAATTCCACTCGCTTAACAATAGCGGAAGGTGATATGCTATCGGCGAGCTCCCGCAGCTTCTCTTTCTGAAAATAACGATTTAACGAGTGGGAAAATCAAGTGTATAAGGCTCCATGACATACCACTTCGTCCAGGGTTGAGCAACAAAGTAATTCGGCTTCGAAAACTTCGACATTTGCAATGGTGGTCAAGTAACTATCTCTTAGATCAGAAGCTAACTGGACGATAGACTTCCGGAGAGGAGTCAACGATTCCGTGAACAGATCTTCGTCTTCGCCATCGACATCGCTCGGTTCAGGTCTACAAAATCTTCCAATGATTGATACAAACGAACAAAATTCTCTGAGCGTTAACAACAGCTTTTTGAGACACTGACGAGGAGTGCCCATTCCCGAAATGGTCTGTTGGGGACCAGAGAAGTATAATTGTTCAATGCGCACACTGGGAAGGCCAAGGAAGAGAAAAAGTTCTCCGAGTTCAAAACTCGATAGAACTTGGTAATAAAAAACTTTAACGTGTTTGGTACGAAAGATCCGAGCGCTTCTGGACACGCTAGGAGGGTTTGAACCACCAGCCTAATGTTCAGCCCTTTTTCGGCCTTCCCCATGAGTGCCCAGCGGAAATTAACTACATTTCTTTGGTACCCGGATGAAGGTCTCCCGCCTGAGAACCTTTTTCTGACCCATGAAGTTCCTTGTGAACAAAGTGAGCCGCAAAATAAACCATTTAAGTCACATGAGATAAAAAGGATAAAGGATAAAGTCTTCGCCGTTGATCAATCTCAAGGTTTGTACGAATTCACTTCATTCAAATCGTAAATGGCATCAATGATGCGCTCGCTATACAAATACTTGCAGTGACCAGCCCATGTACAATTCATGTTTTATACTCAAAACGAATCTGTACCAATCCCAGACGAATCTGGTACCAATTCACCGTCCCCGGAGGGTAGAAGGCTTGGTTGGCCTGGGCGGGAGTCGACCCGGGATTTGAACCGGCGCCGCGCGAGTGGTAAGCGCGCCACTTGTCACTACACCACCTCCGCACATGAAGTAGGGTAAAAAAATGAAACTGCAGGCTGATCATAGCTTGATGTTTCTCATATCGCCGCCATGCATTCGAACCAGGGCACATCACACGTTAGGGATCCCCAGTGAGGGGGATCATATACGGCCGTTGGAGGGAGGGTGGTCGTATGCCTTGAAAAAATAAATTTGGTTGTTGACTTTCGGTTTTTCAGTGCACTATATACGCCCTCCCTCTAGGGCACGCCATCATTATGGAAACCACTAGGGGGGAGTCCTTTTGAAGGCGAAGGAGGTGGGGTGGGGGGCGGGGTGAGCGCAGGGCTCATTCAGGAGTGAAAAGAGCAGCGATATTCAGATGACGTAGTCGTTGAGTGATGAAATTGTTCATGTCTCTTGCTGTGGAAAACACCTGGAGAAAATCCAAGTATCCTATTCGACATCATCTACTTTTTGCCTTTTTTTGGGGGGGGAGGTCGTAGCGAGACCCGCTTTGTGGTGGTCACATTAGGCAGAAATTTAGTCCACCACACAACGTGATACTGTCCTGCTTCCCTTCCCCGCTCGACGGCAGTGTTTTACTGGAGAATTTGAAAGGAAAAACGGAAAAATGGTGCTAGGAGGTTGGGAGAATTCAGAGAGGTGATAGCTAGGATGTGTCGTTAAAGAGGAGAAAATTCGGGGAAGGGGAAGGGAGTCGTACGGTAGTACTTTGCGGCACGTGATTCGAGGACCCCTTCCTTTCCGTAGGCAGTGGCTCGGCGGGCTAAGAGATGAACCCGGCTTCTTCCGGCGTTAATTTTTCAAATGTGAATAAAACGAAAGAACCTTAATTCCCCTCAAAAATAAGGCCTGGCTTGCTCGTCATACAAAGCACAACGAACACACTTACTTCGTCCCTTGAGGGCGCAGAAGATTGGTTGTATGTAACAAACAAAGCTTGTATAGCATTCAAAAGAGAATGGAAAAAAAGGAAATGAGCGAGTAATGATTATCGAAGCAATGCCATTAAAGCCTGCGAGGCCTCACAAGTCCCAAACGCCCTGTTCACCGAGAGTGAGGAAGAGAGTAGCATACCATTGGTGGTGCAATGCGAACCTGGAGGGCTGAGCGTCCAATGCGAGGCGACAAACCGTGTCTACCACAAGTGGTTGAACCAGGGCCCTGAAGGTGGGGAGGGGAAGGGTGCCTACCGGCCATCGCAGCGCTTCTTACAAACGTGAGGCTGTCGCAAGGATACCGAACGCCTCCCAAGCCATCGTGCCCGACTACCTTTTAAAACTTCAGAGAAAGCACGCTTCAAAAAAAATAACCGAAAAAAAAAGTGGTTGAACGTTACGTTTTGCTTTGCCGTGCACTTCCACCAGTAATACTGCTGAGTATTGCATCTTTATTTTTCCTCAGGAACTGAAATGAATTCAGAAACGTGTAGCCATTCTAGTTTTTACTTCTTTTACTTACCGCCAGCAATTTTCCTTCTCTAATTCCTGCTTTCATTAAGGAACTCAACAAACTGTCGAACGACGTCACATCGGGCACTCTGTACCATGTCTCCGTGTAACTAAAAAAAGCATTTAATTAGCAAGTACAAAATCGATTGAATGAAACTGGTGCACCTTTCCGGTTCGAGAACCGGCCAGTCGGCTTCGGATTTCTTGACAGGGGTACTTGCAGGATCCTGGTTGTTCTCGGAAGACGGCTTATTTTCAGGTTCTTCAATTTTTATTTCTTCCTCATCCACTTCTTCTTCAAACGGTTTCCCAGCTTTGATACAAGCGCGGATAAATTTTTCATACGAGGTCACACCCAGCTGTAACAAAAATAATTAAAACGAGGTACCCTCCTGTCCGAAACGAGTAACTTACATCTTGGATCCAAATACCATCATCCGCGGATTTTCCATGGAACCAGTAGTAACGACGGAAATGGCGGTCTTCTCCAATAGGGACGAGACGTTTGGATTGAGATTTTGCCAGCCTCTCCATCTAAATCCAAACACAGGAATTAGAACCAGCAGTGAAACCGAACATTAAAGGCAGTGGGCATGATCGCTAGAGGCGGGCGGTTGTTGCCAGCGTCATTGGTCGGAGGGCTGCGCTCCCCTCAGTCGTTCCACCAAAGACGTTGGCGACAACCGCCCGCCCCCAGCAAACGTGCCCACTTCCTTTGAGGTACGCAACTAACCGTAAGCTTTTCGAGAAGCTCGCCCACTTTATCCTTATTCTCTTCAATCCTCCGTTCCAAATTCTCACGCTGCCTCTGGGTCTCGGCTCTTTCTCGTGTTTCACTTCGAGAAAGCAGAAGTGGGTCAGGAACCTCTTCGTACTCAGGCAAAGCAACCAGTTCCTCTTGCCACGAAGTGACCTTAATTAATAAAACCGCACAGTGCATATCTTAGCAGGTGAGAGCTAGGAAATCTAGCGCAGACGGGCTTCTTGGGGCACTTTCCTGGTCCCCATTGATTACTACCGATGAGTCCTGTGAGGAAAAAACCCTACATAGGTACACTCCTTATCCCAGATATGGAGAGGCCGTGGTTGGAAATTCGAACATGGTGGGTACTGTGCATGGCAAGAGATTGCCGTTCGGGACAACTGCAGTCATGTCTTTGTAAAGACGAACGCAGGATGAAATTTGCTCGAGCAGCATCTTACGCCATGTTCATATGAAGCTTGCAGCAAGAGCTGAGCCACTTTCACATTTGACGAGCCTAGAGTCTTACCAGCTGAGACGTGTAGATTGACGGAACTAGCAAGAGTGCAAAACGTCCCCCCTCCAAGCCGAACAGAGCCGAAGTAAACCTTTTCTATTCTCACCTGCTCATTAAGTTTTGTGATCTTATCACGCAAGTTTCTAGCAGCTTCACTGAGTCCTTCCTGGTTAATGTAATCCTAAATTCGAACACATAGACTTTCACGATATACTCAAATAGGTTGAAGGACTATTTTGTAATCTATGAAGAAATCACCTTGAACGAACGAAGGTCAAGCACACGATTCAGCACTAAACCAAGAATTCCCAATTGATCTTCCGGAGTCAGTTCCCAGAGTTCCTTGTCGGGCGTAAAGCTGTCAAGGAAGGTCTTGCACACATCCTGAAGGAAAAACTATAGGATTGAGAAGAAAAAAATAATCAAAAAATTGCAATTGATCAGATCAATGCAAAACACACTATATCGATCTGTGACATGTCGTTCACTTCACATGGAGAGTTACGACCGCTTTCAACAGCATTCTCCCCATCCTCGTTGTCCACTCCATTCGGAGTCGTGAAGTCAATGACGTCGTTGCATTCGCGAATTTTTCTGGAACACTGAATGTGAGAACAAAGGAAAAACCTCCTGTACACTGCACAAGTTCACCAACTATCTCGATTGAGCGTAATTCGGGAGGAGCCAAACGCAGGCTCGGACCGCACTACTCATGCGGACAGTCCGCAATGATGAGTACTGTACCTTCGGGACAGTAAAACTCGTACCAGCAGCAAAATTACCACTACTCTTCTACTTGCACACTTCGAACAGCAATTTGCCAAAACTACCAGCTTTGGACAAATTGCTGTTCGAAGTGCTTTTAGGGGAGGATAAAAACAAGGACGTTTACATCGGCCCCAGCACGCCATTATCTAAGCCCTATCGCTCCCAATGAGCTATTACAATTCTCAGTCGTAGAGTAAAGCGTGCAGAATCCAAAAGCGGAACTGTATGACGAAGAGTGCTCTTCTTATCACATGGGTGGAAGTATAACAAAAACTCACTCGTCCAAGCCCGTACTTCCAATGAGAAGAGCACGACACAGTTCAGATACTGTGTTATTTTCAATTGAAAATTCATGAAGACGAACATTGAAATGGGAAAGATTCTGAAAATACCAAGTTAAGAACACTTGATATCAACTGTAACATATACTGCCTTGTCCCATAAACAATACTGTCCATAAACCATACCCCCATAAATCGAAAGAAACCCCCCTTACCCCGTACTCCGGATCCTGCAACAAAGTCTTCAAGAGCGAGCCAAACAATTTGGCGGTGCATTTCATAAAGCCTGGCCTTCCTTCATGAACAGCATCGAAAAGTTGCTCTGAAACAAGGGAATAGTCACGTATTTAGGTATATTCCTAATAAAACGCGTTATAGCCAAAATTATCTTCACACGCTGCTAATAAAAACGTACTAGCTGTAATCTTGTGATCCGCTTCGATGAACTTCTTCAACGAGGAAAAGAATTGAGTAAAGACTACGCAGTCAGTTAACAGTAACGATTGCCCGCTCGGAACTGAAACAGGTCGACCGGGACATGGCAGAGCCACATCGCTAACTACAATGTCTTCCTCTGCAATTTCCTGAAAAAAAAACGTTATAATGTGATTCAAATGTAATTTAATTGGTTTATACTTTAATAAGGACTACAATATTGATGTATAAAACCGTGATATAATTTACATATGCCCAATTTTTCTTTTTTGAATTTTTCTTTAAATTTTTTTGTTTTTATTGTTTCAAGGAAGTAGTCTAGTTTCCGTTTCGCACGTGCCCTTAGACGGAAACTAGACAACTATGGTATCGTTATAAGTTTGGGACAGCAGCCCGGATACAGTACCCCAAAGAGCGCGTAAAACCGAGCGCGGAGTAGCAGCGAGTGCACACAACACTACCCAGCCTTTTTCGTAGAACACAGGCTAATAAGCTTGGGCAACTAAGTTGGCTTACGGTGAGCCCGATTGAGTGCATTTACGGGGAAGAAACATTCAACTACACGCGCAATTCGGGAGCACTGTATCCCGCCTGTTCTCCTACTTTGACCTTGTAAACAAAAAAGACCGTCAAGTGGAAACCCGCAAAACTGAAGAGAAAACAGTAAAGTTCCTAACCTGACTGAAGTAGGCCTTGATCTTCGCCAAGCATTATTTTTTGATGTTGATGTCTTCTGTTCACGCATCTTGTCCCGGAATGCTGCTCGCTCCTCTTTCGTCTTCATCTTCTTCCTAAATAGAACATTTTTCCAACTGCGGCTCAAAAACTAGATAGCGCTGCAGTGCACGACTGATTTTTGAAGTGCATCAGCTTGGCGATTCGAGCAGCGATACTTATGGAAATACGAGTAGAGGCAAGACTCCATTGCGAGGGACACCGGCTTCCCCCACCTCCTCCTTTTGTTCGATTTCAAAAGACCGAACGGCGTCGCTTGCCAGCCCTGGGGCGTACTAGGATTGCCTTGTTACATAGCATCTCGAGAGTGCGGGAATCGGTGACGAAGGCACGGATTCTCTGAAAACGCTAGTGGGCGGGGTCAGGACTGCCAAACCTACTGCCACCGATTCTTCGCTACTGCTCATCGAACGCGCTTTATTATACATTACAAAAACCGAACTTACAAAGTTTCAGCATCCTTGACCTTGTCGTAAGCCTTTCGCACCGCAAATCGATGACATTCGTGAGGAATCTTATCGATCTGAACTCCAGAGAGGACCTTTGCAGCCCAGGCTGCTGCACTGATAAATTCCTGAACCAGTACTTTTAGTTAAATTGCATCGCATTCTCAGAAGTCTATTGACTACCTGCTCGTCCCGCTTCCGCCAAGCATCTTGCAGTTTACTTACAGCAGACTTGAACCTTTTCTCGCTACGTTTCTGAGGCGTCAGAAATGGAGTTCCCGTAGCTTCACCCGATTTATGCTCACCATTAGCACCTCCAGCACAGATAAACTTGGTCAGATCCTGAAGAAACATTTCATTTACTCAGTAAAAAGAATGACAGAGCTGCTGGAGTTAAAGGGGCAGCCCTGCGCGACAGTGCTACGTCATGAGATGCACATCTATATACGCACTTGCTCTGAAATAACTGCGGCATATATCGGTTGGGAAATCGCTAGCAAATAGGAAACGTGTCGGCGAGAAGCGCTCATCCTTGCGGCACTGTTTTTTTTAGGGTTTCGACGACGAGGAAAGCATAGGCATCAATCCAGCGTTCTGAGCTTCGTTTTAGACGTCCACTAGCCTTTTCAGTATCCGCCGGCGTTTCCAAGGACTACGAAAGTTTAGATATCGATCTAGAATTTAACCATCAACCAGCGAGTTGAGCGTTCAAGAGTATAGGTATCGATCACAGCTAAAAACGCTGGTGAGAGTTCAGAACACTGCCGTAAGCTCAAAACGCTGGTGGACGCTCAAAACGCAGCCGCAAAATGTAAACGCTTTCTGAGAGGATGCCACGAGAAGAGGTGAGTATGGAATAATGGCGCAATCCCCGTGGTCCCTTGAACTCCAGTAGCACCAAACGTCCAGTTATTAATTCCGCCAAAAGGAGGATGCCATGTCGCAAACACTTACCCCAGAACCATTCTCTTTTTGTTCCTTTCCTTTCTTGTCAGCCTTCTTCTTTTCCTTCTTCTCTTTCTGCTGGTCTTTCTTCTCTTTCTTGTTGGTCTTTCTTCTCTTGCTTCTTCCTCTGCTTGTCAACTTCTTTCGATGAGGCATTAGGCGGTAGGGCAACTCCACTCCTTCGTTGAGGAATGAAGTTGACGAGAGGTGTATCAGAATCGGAATCATCGTCTTTGGCAGCCTGTAAGTTGAGGAACAATTGGCAGAAGAAAAATGCCTATGGTAGCTTAAGGGAAGAGCACTAATTAAGGCCTTAGGCGTCGGAAGAGTTACCACCAGGGCACATCGTACGTTGGAATTCCCTAGGGGGGAGGGGTAGTATTCGCCTGCTGTTGACGTTTTGACCGCTTGTTCCTGTTACAAATTTAGCAACACATGCGCTTCCCCCGGCTGGCACGGCTTCCTCTTGGGGAAAAGATAAGGTACTCCGGAAAACGAAGAAAACCGTAAGGGTAGAAATTTTGGGTGGATTCAGGAAGATATTCGGTGGGGTAGCGAGGGTGAGGGTCAAACCATAGTAGAAACATTCGAGGATTTTCGACATTTCCCAACGGTAACACGTGTCATGTTTGCCGTACCAGTTGATACTGGAAATCCCCCCCCCAATCACAAGTGTTTAGGAGCTCTCACTCACGAGGGAAAGCAAGGCATAGTACCCCATGAGACCTTAAATCAAGAACTGAAGTCTACAGAAAGAAGAGACCACTTACCTCACTTCTTCCAGTCGTGCTCACGATCTTGTTCGAGGATTTCGAATGGGAAAAAGAGCAGAAAATAGGTGCCAGTTTGTCTTTGATGCCATATTCCTTCTTATATCCTTCCTCAATCTGAATACAAACATAGCTAAACCTAGAAACCATCCACGTACAAGGTTGTGACAACGTACCTGCCAAGGTTTTCCAGGTTGCTGTGAACCTAACAATAGAATAAGCGATCGAATATCGTCTTCAGAAATTTTATAACGCCGCCTAAAACATGACTCGGAGTCATAAGCCCTGCCGATCCAGGTATTAGCAATCATAAGTTTTGACTGGAACGCACCTTAAATCCCTTCCATTGATTCGACCAATTTCTTTGTCATCGTACAACAAGGTATAAAACACTGCTCCACCTTTCTTCTCCACACCCGTCACCTTCGCAAGTACAGTTCTGAAACTGGAGAGACTCACTTGAGAAACGGAACTCATATGGGCTTTGTCGTAGATGAAGGGGAGGGACCATTTAGCAACTCCTCTGTGCTAGGAGAAGAGTGACATCGCGGCCGTGTGGCCCTCTACTTTTTATCGTGTGAGCAGCGCATGAAAGGAACGTGTCAGGCGAGATGGTTTGGCAAAGCGCCAAAGTCGTTTTCCAGCTGTTGTTGCAGCGAGTAAGCGTCAAGAATTCATCGTTCGTACAAGCCACTTTCCACCAACTGTAGCCCCTCACCCCTTCAACAACAATCCCTTCAGGACAATCCCTTCAGGACAATCTCTTTGACGCCACGCCAAACCCATCCCGTCGGCTGTTGAAAGCCCCTTCATCCGCAGTAAAAAACTATATTACCCTCCTCCCAATGTAGGTTTTGAAGATTTGCTGCTAGCCTAACTGATCAATATTTGGTGAAGGAATAAAACCTAGCCGAAGTTTTCGAGGACGGGGAGAAGTTCTAAAAGTCTCCGTTTGGGGCGTGGCTTTAGTCACTGATTGAAATAAATCAATCACAAAAAAACGTGCCCCCGTGTGACTGCTAGAAAATCTTCGCTCGAGGATTTTTTAGCAAATCACTTTGTCGGCTTCTTTCACCTTAGTTTTTTTTTCAGCAAGGTGTTACTCCATCTAGGTGATTTTGCGTGTTCGAAATATTCCAAAACATGCTAACATGCTATTTTTTGACAAGTTCAAAAGAAAACAGAAACGCGCCCAAAGTGAAGAACTGCACAAGTAAATAATTTTTAATCATAAAAAAGGTTCAGTTGCGAAGTGATACACTTTAACGAAATAATATTGTCGACTCCTACCCTTGTCAAAAAACACATTGTGCATGGCCTAAGGACTGAAAAATTAGCTGGCCAAGCAATATCCAAAAAACGGAAAGAGGGTTTCCCATAGCATCTAATTTGGTCCCATTTCGAAAAATGAGGATAAGGAATATTCTGAAGAAAAAGTAAAGAAACGAAAATATTCAAACATACCTGTCAGTTCCCGGTCTAAACTCCACATTTTCACCTTTCACAAAGTAGTCGTCGAGATAGTTTTCTAATGATTCTACAAGGTCGTCTAACGAATAAGTACCTGAAAAATAAAAAAAACCATAGCCTGACCTTTAGAAATGCAAAAAAAAACTAAAAGAAAGTGTTGGCGACACTAACTATGATGAATCCGATTGCACATCTCCTGTATAACAGGCTTTTCTATCTTCCCTTGTAATTGCGTTAATCGATCATATTCCTGTTGCATTGCCTGCTCATAGGAAAAGCAAAAATCGTCCGGATTATGACGAGCGCTAAACTTCTTCTCAAGGTCGCTCCTGAAAACACGGGTTTTCCGCATATTTAAATCATTCAAGAATCAAAGTACAAAAAAACCTCAAGCGCTAACACTCAAAAATTCCAATAAAAACAAGGTAAGGGAGCCGCGAAACCCATGTGAGGGGCGACTTGGCCCCGAATGCGCGACGAGCTCACAAACCGCGCTGGCACCGAGCCAATAGGTAAATAACTTTCAAACGGGCGTGTTTTGGCGCCGCAGCGCAGATGTTCGAATGGAGCGAGCGTCAGCGGTGGTTACCTGCTGATGAAGGGGTGAGGACATGAGTGCCCATATGTCCCTTGTTTCGCACAATACTTCATCCTCTTTCATAGAAATGCACTCCAGAACACCATATATTTAGCCCAATAAAATCAGACCAAAAATATTCATATTTCCAACGCTGCTCCATCACCACAGTCTTCTTTGCTGCGGATGATGCCGCTTGTTAAAGAGGCAGGCTTTGGCATAGCCGAATCCATCCCACCACTTGTTGAAGTTGGTGAGCGACAACTACTGGTGGAAAATGGGGGCCTTGAAAGAACCGTACCTCCAGTCATGCCCTGTCATCTGCGGTGAATAAGGCTGCCCAACAGGGATCCAGTTTTTCCGGAACGTCATCTTGAGTGCTGTTTGCTCTGTTAACGTCTATAGCGCTCATTTTTAGCGCTGATGTCCCTCACAGCCAGTTTGCCCTCTCTTCCCTGTTAAACTTCTGTCGGGGCGAAAAAGAGAAAAAAATACTTCAGAAGCGGCAGCCTCTGAGCAATTACAAATGAGTTGTGCGTGAAAGAGGGAGGTTTGTACGTAACGGCCGCCGCCACACTTTATAATTGACGTTTGTTGCGGGATTTTTGTAACTGCCACCTGTTGCGGGATTTTCGAGAATCCAAACGGCATTAGCCCGATGCCATTTGGCCACAGTCTAATCGAATGCAACCACCCAACGGCAATTCGGGCCCGCACTTCAAGTCTATGTCAAAAAAAATCCAAGTGATATTTGATATGAACAACCCTTAAGTAAGAACTTGCTAAAGAAACGGAGTTTGCCTAAACAAACGGCTCGTGCCGGATTGGCGCCGGTGCCAAGCGTCAGAGCAGCGAATTACCTCTCCAGACAAAGAGCAAGCGAAGAAAACCGTGGTGTTTTGGGGCTACGGTAGACGTACATGACACCTTGAACTTTTGTAAATGGTCATGTTGCGAAACCATGCAACGCAGACTGATGGAAAACAGCGGCTGGCAAAGCATCGAATTGTGGGACAAACATGTGACGAGCCAAGGATTGGGCTTTTCAAGGTCAAGGGGAGGGGGGACGGGTGAGATTCCGAGGTGGAGC